GCCTGGAACAGTGCCAACCAGCATTAGAGAAATTATGTGCCAGGCCAGGGAGTCAGCTAATCCACAGGAAGACTGTAAAAAACACTCCACGAGAGCTGCCGGAACTCACAGCTACCAGCTGCCAAAGGCTCCTATCCTCAGAAGCTTTTTAAAGTTTGGCTTTGGGATAATCGAGCACAAGACTGCTGCTCAGCATGGCTTAGGGATCAGGGAAGAAGGGGAAACAGAGTGCAAACTGGGAATTTGTTTTTGTGTACAGTCCTACCCTGGACCTAGGAAAAAGGGAAGGGCAGCTTCCTTCACTGCAGGTTCCAGTCGTTCATTCAGCATGGCAGCTTAGCTGGGTGCTAGAGCTAGCCAAAAGCACACAGCACAAGAAAAGCACATCAGCAAATGCAGAAAGTTACTACACATCTCAGGAGAAAAGCTGGCGCCTTCACTTCTATAAAACAAACAAAAAAACCCCAACCCACCAAACTTCCATTTTACAATACAAACTACGGTATCAAGTTCCCTGCGAAGTGTCATAAGGGCAGGATTTGCCTCCAGCTCAGCTGTTACCCACCTCAACAGCCCCAACAGCAAGAAGCACCAAGACATTTGCAAATCAAGACCCACAACAGCAATAACATTCAAAGGCACGAAAGAAAGACTTACTAGCACACACAGCTTTGGGTTTGGCTACTGGCAGAATCTAAGGAAGCTCAACAACAGGATACTAGTTCTTTAGGGAGAAGAGAAAACCAGGGTTAAGAAAAACTGACTCAATACAGCTAAACATGAATACTCAAACCAACAGAAACCCAAAAGACTGGATCTGCAGTGATAGAGAGCTGTCAACAAGTCACTCTAACTTACAGCGTTTTCCAAGTCAAAAGAGCTTGAGTTGCTTTGGCAGCATGATAACATTTTGGGGTTGGTTGTTTGGTTTTGTTTGTTGGTTTGGTTTTTTTTAAATACACCAATAACCATAATTCTCACTTCAACAAAGTTGGGTTATTTTGTTGGGTTTTTTAAGCCAGGGCAGTAAATGCCTACCTAGGCACAGCAAACACTCCTCCAAAGCCAGACTTCGGCTTCCTTTTCCCCCATTTGCTTCAGCAGTGTCCAAAACATGAGCCTCCCCAGATTCAAGCCAACACAGAAGTCAGTAGAAGCTGCAGGTACTCAACCCCTCTCACAAATGTAGGCCACTTCAGAAATGTGATTCTGGAGCATGAAAACTGGACCAAGTATTCATGAAAGCACCAACAAGAGGCATTACTCCCACTGCCAGGGAGAAAAACATCCAGAGATTCCTTTTCGTCATTGCTGATAGCAACATTATCTGACAGATTTCATAAGGCTGCGTGTCTTAATAAGGCTGAAAAGGAGAAGAAGTAAAATGCAAGATCTCCCTCCCCCATATCAGCAGTTTTCCCCAACACCCTGGTATCTCCCTTGCACCTACCATATATGGAAAAAGCCACACGCTATCCAAATTGCCTGGGTACTACTTTGGAATGCAGCTGAAGACAAATATTGCAACCCATGGCTTCTGCCACCACCAGTAAATCGGAGCTTTCATTTGTACCTTATCTGTATTCCTGTTTGCGTCAGCATGGCAACACTTTGCCAGGCAGTGTCAGGCCGCTATTGGGACTGAAACTCAATTCCAAAGTGCTACTGCAAGCACTGAAGTATGGCTGCAAACAAGAGCACGCAACCGCTCTGCAAGAGGCTCTGCAACAGGTCAGGCACAGAGATGACAGCAAAAACTCCCTGTTAATACTGGTACTTATCCACCAGGTTCTGAGTGAGTTGGACGACACAAGGAGAGTTTAACGGGCTAAAGTTTTACCTACCGGAAACAGGAAACATGCCAAGCTTCATTTACAGTCTTGTAGAGGCGCTGACCAGCATCAATGCTCTTCCTACATCCTTGACATCTCCAGACTTCTTCATCTTCATCTGCATGCAGGAATAAAGTGACATACAGCAACTATTTTACATCAGAGAAAACAAGGATTGCTGCCATAAGTCATATAACTGGCAGGAAAGCCTGCACACGTAGGAAGTTAAGCCAATACCAGGCAGTCTGTAATCCCAGAGAACGGAGTTCCCAAATCAAACTCTAACTTCTTTATTTTTATTTTTTTTCCTCCAGACATAACATCACCATCCACTCCTTCATATTCTGCAGAAGAAAGCAACATGACCTTTCACAGAAAGCAGCTCAGTTACAGCTATGCTAGTCTTCAGAGCAGGGATTTCAGGAAGGCGGATTGGGCTAGCATTAACATTTCCCACAGAGAACCATGCTAGGCCAGGAAGCCACACTACTATTTCCCCCACGCCACTGACTCAGCACATAACGTTTGCACTCATTTGTATAATTAACTAGATTTCCCAGAGCTGAAAGAAAAGAAAGGCAAACTTTATTCAGTAGAGAACAACCTGACTACCAGGAAGGAATTACACACTTGAATGACTATTCCTGTAAAGACTGTACAGCCAACACCAGACTACTGTCAGACTTAGGAGGAGGGGTTGATGCTACTGGCCTACTGTCCCTTCAGAAAATAGCGGTCATAGCCTCTGTTAGAATGGCCATAAAGCCTTGAAGCGTAGAGCTAGTTATTTGGGTGCACACAAGCAAGGAAAACCAGCATGAAAACTCGTGCATCACAAGCATTTGGCACACAGATAAACGCTACCCAAAACCCAAGCAGGTGTGCGGGCACATTAAAGCAAGAGTCAATGATCTGGATGAGCACAGGTTGGTGCAAGGAACGTGTCACACAGCTAGGCAGATCTCAAACCTCTTTCCTCCTGCTACCAAAAGTTTACTTGCAGTAAGGTTGCGTAAGGAAAGATGCGCACTTAAGAGAAGGAAAACCACTAACCACGGACTTCCAATTTCCAAAGAACATTAAAATTCAGTAGTTGCTCAGGCGAGTTGATGCCAAGGTCAAGTTCCTTGAAGCTACACAAAGAAGTAATCAGCCTTCTATGCACTTTTACCCCACTGCATAGGTCAATGACAACGTTTAAAAATAACCAAGGTGAAGATCTCCTTGTACGCTTTACACAAATAGCTATTTTGGAGAAAAAACTTGTTGCTCAGCCACAAGCAAGCACCACCCTCACTGGTGGATCGGCCATACCCATAAAGGTCTCCATGAAGACTATAGTGCTAGATAGGATGCATTCAAATATGACACTTGCTGTAAGTTGCTACTCCAGTGCCCAACTAAGCATCAGCTCCACACCTGGGAGCATGTCTGCACCCTCCTGCTATCCGGAACACCGAGAACTGCACTTGACTTCAGATCTGCACAACAGAGTAAGGGTTAGAAGAAACTGGGAAAAAGCTGGCATTACCAATGTTCTTCTATATGGCAAATTGCTTTTCAGCACGCCAAACAGGCCTGGAAATAAAAGGCAGAGCCACGTGCGCCCGTGCCTCAATGCACAGGCAGCCGATGCTCTCCAAGCAGCGCAAGCCCAAGAAGTCAGCTGAACTTCTGGAATCACTGCCACTCTGCAGGCCAGGAAAGCCTGCAAACCAGGCACCCTGCAGCTCCATCTCCTCCTGTCCAGTGCCACGAGACGCAGACGTGAATACAGAGAGCAGATCCTGTTTAAAGGAATTTAAAGACTAACGGCTACACCACGGCTGACTAAAGCAACAGATGCTCCTCCATGACGGCCCCACAGAGTTTACCCATTGGCTTCTGAGCTGCAGGTAGCAGTCACCCCACTTTCAGCTGCGGTGCTACTTCTGTGTAACTGCACCCAGAAAGGCCGATTAGCTCACCGACGGAAATGAAGTCCTATGTTCAACCGAAATTGCTGAAGTATCCAGGAGAAATGACGGAAGTAAAAAAAAAAAAACCAGAGCAGGAAACAGCGTGAAGGAAAAGCAAATGGACATAATCAATGTAACAGGTCTGTCGGGTCCCCCAGGACAGGAGGAACGTCACGGAGGC